GATGGGATTACCATTCATTCGGTATCATATACTCAAGAATAAACCGGATATGGGTATAAACTAACTGCTCAATTACTGCATGTAATTGTGCCCAGGAGTACTCACAGCTCGGATCCTTAGCCACATGCGGAGCGGTGGCACGGGATGGTCGACCTGGTCCGGCATCGTTCACCGCACTGACACGGAACTCGTAAGTCTGACCGGTTTCCAGTCCAGGTAGATGTGCACTGGTTCCGCTTACCAAACCACTAGTTGCCGGTTTCCATTCGCCTTTTGGTGTACGTTTCTCGATCAGATAGCCTGAGCAGAATATAGAATAGAACACCATAGGTTAGGAAAACAAAATGAGTGGAAAAAACTTTTATGGCCGTGTTCCTTTCCATTTACTTCTCAGAACAACAAAGTGTTGAATCGAGATTAAAAAGACTGATTGGATAGGATGGTAATGATAGCGCGCGTTTGAATGAAGTCTGTTTTGAATGTTCACTCAAAAATGCCAGAAGGACCATAGGTGGAGTTGTGGACGTTGATGAGAAGGTTGATGAGAAGGTCTGTGGCGATAATACTGATTTGGTCACGAAAATTATCACATGTTGATGTATCTAGGACTCATCTATCGTAGTTGATAAGCGTCATCTCTCTATCTGGTGTAGAGTATTTTTTACTTGTCTATTTGGTAAACAAGTCATTCAATTAAACGGTAAAACTTCAATCGTTTCCATTCTGGTTCATCAGAACTAGCAACGCATATGGACTCTGCTTTTTGTTCGGGAGCGGTAAAGTGATTTACTTTCAAATTGAGAACCCATTTGCTTTTGAATTCTTTCATATCGGTAACGATTGATAAGTTATGAATGACACTAAAAAGCAAGTGTGCGTAGGTGCCCTTTTTCATTTTCGCCAACTGTATTGAAATAAGCGCGTGATAAGAATTAACTTTGTCCATGAAAATTTGAAATATTTGTGAAAGCGATACGTATATGCATTTTGTCTAGGCTTTCATCTTGACAAACAGACCATGAGGGTTTTGTTAATAACAAACAAAAGCTGCTCACCCTTGATAGGATTGCCGCCGTCGTGTTTCGGAGCATCCCAGGACAAATCGACCGAGTGCTTGTCAAACGAGTCGATATTCAAGTGATCCGGAGAGTCGGGGGCCTCTGTAATTGTATTCAATCAATACAAAGGGAAACACAATGATCTCAAATACTTCTCATGAGATGAAATGCATAAATAATTGCATTATTTGTCTGCAATATCAATGTTTCTATTGATTACGGGCTAGGCAATTATTCGGTTTATGAATCAGTCAGTAAAAACCTCAATTGAATGTCTCGTATAATTACGTGTTCTCTTTCAACAGAAGGTACATTGATAAGTGATGCAACATAACCAAAGGCCAAACGTGAACATTCACACTGACTCAGATAAATCCGGAAATACCATTTATCCCAGCAGTGAAATCAAGGTTGACTAACATGCAAACAATTGCATTATTGTATTGTATTGTATAAAACCTTAGAGGTTTTAGCACCGCATTGGAAAACAGCGTGTGCCTGTGAGTAAGTGGAGAGGATCCTATATATACATTTTAACTTACCAAACGGATTTTTGGCCGTGACTGCACCGTTCACTTCACCCGGTTCTCCGGGACCCAGTGGATTTACTGCCGTTACTCGGAAACGATATCGCTTGCCCTCGATTAGATCCCGTACTGGGCACGTGTTGCCACTAATAACTGTTGGCACACGCTCCCAGATACCGGTGGTCGCGTCACATTTCTCCACAATATAACCTATCGTTGAATAAACGAACAGGAGAATCCGAATGTTGATCGATTGAATGCAAAGTTTATAAAACAGAAGTGACACATTGGTTGGAAAGTTGGGACGCTACCATCAGCAAACGGTGGGATGGGATTGAGTATTTTACAATCTGGGGGTACATTAATTAAATAAGAATTCATGATAGCCTCCGAGATACTAAAGAGTATTATGACAAATCACACTCGAGGGTTTCAATTACGCTGAGGGCTATTTGAGATATGAGGTAGTGTTTCATGAAACTGGTTCCTAAAAGGTAATGCTTACTTTATTCTATATTATGATCTACGGATAATGGGTGACTACACCTCGATGGAGTAAGCACAAATCCTGACCTGCTGACACCACAAAGCAAACGTGAAATTAGGTGTTGGTTGAATGTTGACTGTGACTTACTGGTGATCGGTAAACCGCCGTCCTTCTCCGGTGGTTTCCAGGATAATGTACAATGATCGGCAAACATTTCGTCCACTTTGACCTCTTCCGGTGCCTCGGGTTTGTCTGCAAATGGCCCGGTCGACATAATGAATTCATGTTTCAAGAATGCAAAATGATAACAATGAAGTAAAAGTAGGTTGTCGGACTCAGCGGGCCAAAATATCACTTGCATGATGGTCTTATTTTGCATCCGAAAATTATATGTACCAAAAACTCAGGAACAACAAGGCTAGTGAATTCAAACAGCACTTCAAAATGGTTTTAAAAGAAACGAGTTACAAACGATTACTTCACCCTGTCACATAGAATGTCTTCCTTCAATGTGTTCCTTAACACAGCAATCCGCCTAAACACTGAAATCATTTCAAGCATTTAAAACTACTGTGATTGTCATCAGTGGTGGTTTCTAAGACCGGGGGGGGGATGCGCTCAAAATCGTATGTTTCGTCCACTTGCCATATTTCGGTTTGACTTTCACCAACGGAGTCGGATCGCTTGGCGCACCGACACCGGCCGCATTGACCGGTCGCACACGGAATTCATACTCGCCATTCTCATCCAAATCTTCGATGTGAGCTTGATTTCCGCTAACCGGTTTTCCGCCCGGAGTTGCCGGTTCCCAATCCGGGGCATTTTTCTTTCGTTTTTCAACCACATAGCCAGTGATACGTGAACCACCGTCTTTGAGCGGCTTTGGCCAGGATAGGTCCACAAAGTTTTTGCCCACGTCATCCACACTGGGTTGTCCCGGGCCATCAGCAGTGGCTAAAATTGGAATTGGATAAAGCAGAGAAAATTTGGAATGTGAAAGAGTTGTATTGGTTGCGTAATATTCGGGGCTAACGGATCAAATACACATCCATACACAGATATTTTAGTGCAGTCACACTAATGGTTGAAGAAAAACTTACTGTATTTGGGCTTGCACTCTACTGGTTTCGTTGGTCTACTCGGTTCACCAGTACCGACGTCGTTCTTGGCCGCGACACGGAACACATACTTCTCACCTTTCTTGAGTCCATCCACTGTGCACGTGTGTTGGCGATCGGTGAGAGTGGAGAGCGGTGATAGGAGAAGAAAGCACCGTTTGAGTTGGAAATGAGACAGTATTGGTAAATAAAAAACAATGAGTGAAACTGGTGTTGCTTCGTGATTGCACGTGGTGGCAAGTCAATCGATTTCGTGATTGATTAACCAAAACGCATAATGAATTACACTCCTTACATTGCATTGGTTGCTATACTTACTTTAGATAATGAGGCATAATAAATTCCCATCCCTGTTTATCGGATAAAAATGTGACATCCTTCAGCCAAACCATCGCCATTTCAGTTCCAACCTAGAGCCCCATCTGCCTTACGACCTGATATCCAGAATTTCTCAGCCTTACTATTTACAATTAGAGTCCTTTGTTTGACACGGGCCAAATTGTATTGTAATCTTAAGTCACGAACCATGTGAAATTAAATGAGGACATTTCGATGACGATGCGTGGATCATTTCTCAAATATAGGAGGGTGGAAGGGAATGACCTACCGGTTGCAGTTGGTTCTTTAACCACCGGGATGCGTTCCCATTCGGTCGCATTCAGTGGTTTGTACTCGACCACGTAACCAGTGACCTTACGTCCACCATCATTGCGTGGTTTACTCCATTCCAATTTAACTTTGTCAGAGTCAACATCGACCACGTTTACATTGGATGGAGAGTCGGGAGCGGCTGTTTGTAATCGAAATAACATGGGAGGAGCCGGTTTAGAAAGTGATTGGGTTGTGAAAATCAAACGGAAAAACCAATTCTATAAACATTAACGTGTCGAATAAAGATCAAGCTCGTCTGTAGTGAGCCGTAATTGCGATATCATATAGCAGTATGTCACTAGTCAGTCGGGAAAAAGGGTTTCCCGGATCAGGGTAAACTATTACTATGAGGAACGATACTCACTTGCTGGGTTCTCGGCCTTAATCGATCGTTCAGCTTCCAACGGTTCACTGACACCCAATTCGTTCTCGGCACGTACACGGAACTTGTAATTGTTACCCTCTTCCAAACCGGTAACCTCGTACTCCGGTTGGCGAACAAAACGGCTAACTGGAGTCCATTCACCGGTCTTTGTGTCCATCTTCTCCACAATATAATTGGTGACTGGGCTGCCACCATTATCCTACAATAAAATGGAAAGCAGGTTGACGGTTGTGATAATAACGGGGACTATAGTAAAATGTCAAATTATTCTAGCCTTTTAGCACAAAACTGGGATAGTGACTCACAGCTGGTGGATTCCATGACAGCTTGCACGAATCACCCCGCACATCAGTCACCTCGAGCGGTCCTTTAGGTGGTTCTGGAGGACCTTGAACTTTGAGTGTAACTGGGGCTGTGGCCTCGCCCTTCTCATTTTTCAGTGTGATTTGCAATGGCCCAGAGTCCTCCTTCTCCGCTTTGGTATCGGTTACGATCACTTCGTTCGGAGTGACTTCGACCTTGAANGCATGCCATTCTGAAAATATAAATAATAGGAAGTTTTGAAGGGAAATTTTGGTTACTTGTAAACTTGTGATTCTTTGTAGACAGATTAATTGGAGGCAGCCTAGCGAACTGACCTTTGTCATTTCCACCTTGTCCGGTGGACTTCCTGAATAAGGTATTCGAATCTTGCATGGTTCACCCTGATGAGCGATCACTTCTTTCGGTGCATCCGGACCAATCTTTGGTGCAGCTAAAGGAACGCAGATTAAATGAGAACCAGTGATTAGATTATGTCCGTTTTGTGAATTATGAACGAATTAAATTGGACGTCTAGGTGAACAGTTTCGGTCCTTTTGAGTGCAGTGTGTATTTGAATCTACACCGGGAGTACACTAGCGAAGCGATCGATCAATGATACTTCGCTTTTTTCTGTTTTACTCGTTTCCTGATTGATAATTAGTAATTTTTTCTATCAGTTCTAATAGTATCATGCTCTTCGTTTAGTAGTATNATAAGTATGGGAAGGGATAATCTAACCATCATTCAACATCTTTATCGTCAGACAAAAAGGAACCCTACGATTGGTTTTGAATGCCCACACTGAATGCACAGGAAATCGCATTTTCTATGAAACCTGATCTCGATTTTCACTGATTGATTGCAGCCTAATGGTAATATAAATCGCAAAAATTGTTTACAGTTAGTTCCGTAGTCGCAAAATCCTTTTCAATCGTGCTTTATAAGAACTGAAACAATGGCAGATGACATAATTCAGTCGAATTTT